GCACCCTTGCGTTCATTTTCTATTTATTTATTTATTTTTGGAGAGATTTTTGCCATAGGGCCTGTGCACTCACCGGAGAGACAGAGAGAGAAAGTGAGAAATCATCCCCCCAGGGTAGTGGCCACGCCGCAGTCCCTTCTCGTCCATTCTCCTCCTGGGATCTTGGGCACGCACATACACGTGCCTGGCATGTTTTAAGCTACCGAGTCCAGGACTCAAACCGCAGCCATGTGAGAGTCTAGCGAAGTAACGCCTACGCCATCTGCTGGTCCCTGCGTGTATGTTTTATAGGTCTCCTGTTGGTTGAGAAGTCTCTGTGGCTTCAGGACCATCTTGGAGGTGGGCGGGCGCAGCCACCATCTCCACACCCCGTGCTCACAGAGGGCGTTTCTCACCTCCTTCCCGCAGAAGGATCTCCTCCTCTCCGAGATTCCGAGCGGCACCGTGTCGCTCTGCTCCAGGAAGACGGACGTGGAGAAGGTGATGGCCAGAGAGATCTGCCAGCAGTACCTGGAGAAGAGGGCAGGGCGGCTGCCTGAGGACTGCGCCGAGGCCCTGGCCACCGCCGTCTGCCTCTGCCTGCGGAGGCGGAATGCCAGCCTGGAGGAGGTGAGCCTCAGCCTCAGCTTGGCCTCCCCGCTGCGGCCCACGTGGGCCTGCTCCAGGGACCAGGCTTTGCCGGTCTGCTCTCCTAAACCAGCGCTGTGTTTGGTCGTGAGTAGTGGAATGTGTGGGAGCTCGTGTTAGCAAAAGGGGGCCGTGTATGGATCGCAGGTGTGTGTGGGCCCGGGTGCAGGGCCAGACCCTCAGGAGGTAACGGAACTCTGCTCGCTCGCTCTCAGTCTGCTCCACCCTCTTCTCTCTGAGCTCTGTCTCTCTCCCTCCGTCCTCCTGGCACGAGAACATGGCCGCCTCCGTTTATATGTTACGGTTCCACACCCCTCTAGCTAGGTCTGCCTTTCCCGGTTCCAGCCTGTCAGAGAGAGAACCTGATTGGTCTAGCTCGCATCAGGTGCCCGCCTCTCTACCAGGCAGGGAGGTGAGGCAGGTCCAGTGTGTAATCCTGGCTGCCGGGGGCTCGGTCCCTGTGGTGACAGGACGAGGTCCTGGAGGAAGGGAGCACGCGCAGTCCAGGAAGCGGCCACCACAGGGCGGAAGACGTTTTCCTATGGATGTGACAAGTGCAGGTGGCTTTCAGGGTGAAAGGTGGAAATTTGGGAACTAGTGCTCGGTCTTTCTAAGGACAAGTCACCTCCCCCGGAAGGCCCTTAGAGATCACCTAGTCGAGTGAATTTCAGGTGGCGTCTGCCAGAGGGGGGCTCACGGGGAACACTGAGTGGTTGTCGGCAGGAGCTGCGGGAGCTGAAGTCACTCACTTTCACTTCCCATAGTCACGGCGGGTTGCTAATATTTCACCGGAGGTGGAGTTCCACATTTGGAAAAAGTTCAATAGTTCGAGAGTTGGGGAAGTGACGGCCCAGCGAAGAGTTCTTTTTTCTTTTTTTGAGAGATTTTTGCTATAGGGTGCATGTGCTCACCAGAGAAAGACAGAAAGTGAGAAATCACCCGCCAGGGAGATAGCCATGCCACAATCCCTTCTCCTCCATTCTTCTCTCAGGATCTTGGGTACGCACGCACACATGCCTGGCGTGAGTCTTAAGCTGCCGGGTCCGGGACGTGAACTGTGGTCGATTACGTGGGAGTCCAGCAATGTAACTGCTATGCCTTCTGCTGGTCCCAGAGGAACAGGAGCTCTGTCAGAGCTGTCTGGACCCAGTTAGCACTACCATGGGGCAGGAGCTGGAGGCCTGAATCATCGTCCGAAGCCTGGGCTAGAACCAGTGCCGCTCAAGTGCCCGAGTGCCATGGTGTCCAGTCGTCCACTCGGCAGCCACGTGGTGGCCCAGGGCACCCTCTGCCAGGGACCCAGGCACACTCTGCTCTCTGCTCCTGGAGCTCCCAGTCTGAACGCTGAGCACCAGGGGAGTGCATGACGGGGACGCCACCCTAGAGGGCCTCCTTGAGTTAGTGGTGTCTAAGCAACCACCAGCAGCCCAAGGGAAGGAGCAGGTTAGGCAGATGGCCTGGGCTGAGCGAGCCCGGCCTGGGCAGGGTGACTGGAGCACAGAGTGGCTCATGGAGCAGGGTGGCCGTGACGAGTGGTGAGGAGGGAGCAGCCCGGGAGTTTGGGAAAGTGACTGACGCTTTTCAGCATGGGTAGGACACGATCAGATTTATATTCTGAAGAAATCTCTCTTGGTGGCTGGGCGGTGCTGTGGTGGTTAAAGCAGCCGGACCCCATATGGCTGACTGCATGGTTCAAGTCTGGACTTGGCAACTTAGAAACAGAGGACTCTCTCTCCTCTGGCTCCTTATTCTTTCACTCAGCCATTTACCTCTTTATTCATTCCATTTGTTTGTTCAGTGTATCAGTTACTGGAGGGCGCAGCTGTTGTAATAAGGATGCTGCAGGACCAGCAGGTGGCGTGGTGGTTCAGGTGCTGGACACTCCCACATGGCCGACCATAGTTCGAGTCCTGGACCTGGTGGCTTTTTTCTCACTTTCCCTCTCTCTCTTTTCTCCTCTGTGTCTCTCTCTGGTCAAATTGAAATAAACGAGGGAACCAGCAGTTAGTGTAATGGCTATGTCGCTGGACTCCCACGTAGTCGAACATGGTTCGCGTCCTGGACCCAGTGGCTTAAAACCCATGCTGGGCGCGTGTGCGTGCGTGCCCAAGATCCCGAGAGGAGAATGGAGGAGAAGGGATTGCAGCATGGCCATCCCCCCTGGGGGGTGATTTCTCACTTTCTGTCTCTCTGTCTATCTCTGTCTGTCTGGCGAGCGCATGCGCCCTATAGCAAAAACCTCTCCAAAAAAAAAAATTGAAGTAAATGAGTGAATAAATAAAATTAAATAAATAAATATTTAATAGAAAAAAATAAGGATGCTGCATCACGTGGTAGTTTAGACAAGATAGGGTTTTTATTTTTAAGAATTATTTAACGTTATTTATTTTAATTTTATTTATTCATTCATTTATTTTAATTTGATTAGAGAGAGAGACACACAGAGAGAGAGAGAGAGGGAAAGTGAGAAAGCAAGCTACCAGGTCCAGGACTTGAACCATGGTCAGCCATGTGGGAGTGTCCAGCACCTGAACCACCGTGCCACCTGCTGGTCCCAAGATAGTTGTTTTTAGGGTAACAGTTTGGACGTAGGTGTTCCAGTATGGCCACGGCAGTCCCCAGTGTCAGCCACCCACGCTCCTGTCCTGTGGGTGCTCCGCTCTCCTTACCAGGGTCCAGAATGGCTGCTGCAGCCCAGGCCGTCACGTCTGTATTCCGTCAGTGAAGGAGGGTTACAAGGAAGAGAAAAGGCTAGATCCTCCTTCCTCCTTTTGAAGGGGTGATCTGTGATCTGGAAATGCACGTGTCATTTTCCTCATACTCTGCAGGCCAGAACCTCTGTGACCGCATCTAGCAAAAAGGGAGTGTCATCTTGAGCATGGCAGGTGGTTACAGGACACTTGCTTTGAGGACCGAAGGGGGACATTGACCTGGGCTCTGATGGAGAAGGCATTTGCCGTGTAATAAGGGGACAGGGTGTTTGAGGTCTATAAAGAAGAACGAGAAACGGTGCTTACGCCCAGCGCCTCACAGCAAGCCGGGAAGGTGAGGGGTCCGCTGGGGCACGGACTGGACGGCAGGCAGGCGGGCCTCCATTTAGTAAGGAATAATTGTCAAAGAAAGAACTAATATAGTATGTGACTTCACACACTGTATTTTCTGTCAGGCACTGAGGAATTGAGATTTGCTATTGTTATTTATTTATTTAAAATAATTCTTTGTGTAATTTTATTTATTATTGTCATTTTTCAATTTGACCAGAGAGAGATGAGGGGCAGAGAGAGAGAGAGAGAGAGAGAGGAAGCGAGAAAGCAAGCCACCAGGTCCAGGACTTGAACCATGATCGGCCATGTGGGAGTCCAGTGCCTTAACCTGCACCTGCCAGCCCCTTGCTATTGTCAAGGAAATGTGTGTGTATGTCCTTTGAGTGTGTGTATGTATATATAAAGAAGGAACTTTTTTGTTGTTTGTTTTAGCTTTTGATGTAGGGCATGTGTACCCACGAGAGAAAGAGGGAGTTAGTGAGAAATCATCCCTCATGGGGAGGGCCACACCTCACCACTCGGCTCGCCAATCTCCTCTTGAGATTTCGGGCATGCATGAGCCCATGCTGCTGGGTCCGGGACTTGAACCACAGTCAGCCATGTGGGAGTGGGATTCAGCCGCCTTAACCACCATGACACCTGGCTAGTTCAGAAGAAGCATTTCTTTCCTGCCTCCTTCTAATTTTCCTTAACATTCTTCTTCTTTAAAAAAAAACTTGTTATTTAACTTTATTATTTATTTTTAAAAATTTGACCAGAGAGGGACAGAGTAAGAGAGAGAGAGAGAGGAAAAGTGAGAAAGCAAGCCACCAAGTCCAGGACTCGAACCACGGTCAGCCATGTGGGAGTCCAGCACCCTTAACCACCACGCCACCTGCCGGCCCCTTTCCTAACCTCCTTAGCTGTAAAGGAGCAACATCTATAAGATTTAGAGTGTTTCTGCTTGAGAGTGTTGCTAGAAACTCAACGTGAACTCTTAGAGTGTCATGGACACACACAGACATAGGGAGAATAGGATGAGGGGTTGAACTTAGCGGCTCGTGACCCGACAGCAGCGAGGAGAGGCACTGCTCTGGTGTCAGGGCAGCTGGACCAGGGCCTCGGACACTGAAGGGGCAGCTCCCCACGTCTGTGTCTGGGACTGCCTCCTCTTCACTGTGTCAAGGCTTCCCTTCCATCTCCTGTAACTGGGCTTTCCATGTGTACGGTGGCGTCTGGGTCTGTCATTAGAAGAAAAAGCTGAGGGTGGCGGCAGGTGGCGTGGTGATTAAGGTGCTCAACTCTCACAAGGCCGACTGCAGTTTGAGTCCCAGACCTGGTGGCTTGCTTTCTCACTTTCCCTTTCTCTTTCTCTGGTCAAGTTAAAACATAATAATAATAACAAATACCATTAAATAATTCTTTTAGAAAAAAGAAAGGAAAAGGGGTGTCATTACCCAAAAACTCTAGGTAGAAAAATCCCAGGGAAAGATTCTGATTGGCCTGCTTGGGTCACGTGCCCAAACTTGGACCATTCATTATGGTCAGAGGAGTGAGAATCTGGCCCATCCTGAGTCATTCCTCTCATCTATGACTGGAGGTCAGGTGCAGGTCTTTTGAGAGAAAACATGCTATTTTTTCTTTTACTTTTTTTTTTTTTTTTGAGAAATTTTTTTGCTATAGGGCGCGTCTACTCCCCAGCCAGACAGAGACAGAGAGACAGAAAGCGAGAAATCACCCCCCAGGGGGGATGGCCACACTGCAATCCCTTCTCCTCCATTCTCCTCTCGGGATCTTGGGCACGCACGCACACGGGCCCGGCGTGAGTTTAAGTCACCGAGTCTGGGACATGAATCACGGTCGACCACATGGGAGTCCAGTGACATAGCCATTACGCCAACTGCTGGTCCCAAGATGCTATTTTTTCTAGACAGAGCAACAGGTACCTGATTCGTCAGTGTGTCTCTGTCTCCTCTGAGACCTGGGAGACCAGGTTTTAGACGTTTGCTTCCAGAAAGAGTTCTCGCTCAGCCCGCTTGTCTCTCTCCTCCCCCAGGTGTGTAGCTCTGTAGCTGCTGTGGAAGAGCGACTCCGGGGTCACCACACGTCCCTCCCTTGGAGCCGGCTCTCTGAGGGCACTGGCTCTTCCTGCAACACTCCCGAGGAGACGGATGACGTGGACAATTCCAGCCTCGACGCCTCCTCCTCCCTGAGGGCAGCACCCTGGGCAGGGTCTGCAGCCTCCCCTCTCCCCACAGAGAACGGAGAAGGCAGACTGCAGGCCAGCAGGGACGTGGAGGCGGACTCCTGCTCTGAGGCCTGCACCGGCTCGGAGCCTCAGCAGGACGGTGAGTGCTCGGAGGGCGGCGTGCTGCACACGCGAGCGTGTCCTGACTTGAGCCTGTCATTTGTCCCCATCGCCCTGACTCTCCCTCGTCGTCTGTTCAGCTGCTGCAGAGGAGTCTGGGAGCCATCCTTGACGCTCCTGCCCCGCCACATCCTGCCCTTGGTCGGAGCCATGCCCCTCCCGAGTCTCTCACCCCACCTGCTTCTCTGCGCTGCGTCCTTGTCTAAGCTGCTGTTCTCGCCGGGTCACTGCCAGGCCTCGCTGTGTCCTCATCCCCTTGGGTCCCTCCTCCCCAGCGCTTCCTCCGGGACAGCTAGAGTGGTTTTGGAAAAGCCCAAGGCACGTCACCCCACTTTTCAGGTCTCCATAGCATGTAGGGGATTGGGCAGAGTCTCGCAGGCCGCCGTGAGCCACCCGCCCCTGCCTGCGTTGCCGTCCTCTTCGAAACCCCAGCCTCCTGTGTCTGCTGCTGGGGTCCAGATACAGCAGACTTCCTCCTGGGAGAAAAATTAGGAGTGTCTTTTTTTTTTTTTTTAACATGTATTTATTTATCTATTTATTTGTTGTGATTTTTCAAGCTGCTGGGTCCAGAACTCTAGCTGTAGTCAGCCATGTGGGGATCGAGCGCCCTTAACCACCACGCCACCTGCTGGCCCCAGAAATGTGTTTTCAGTGAAGCACCCTGGTCCCCTAGTAAAGGTGGTTCTGTGGCTCTCTCAGGCTTGGACTGGTCCAGTTGCTGCATCTCTCATGGGGAGGAGAGAGGAAGAGAGTGGCCGTGAGAGTGTTCTCTGCAGACCCCCCCACCCTGGGCCCTGGGAGGACCATGAGCCCCCTCCTCTCTGGGGTGGGGATGGGGCAGGGGCAGGTGTGGGTTTCCCTGCAAAGGCAGAAGCGATGAAAACACGACACTTAAGGCCCAACTCAGAAACCAGATTTAAATGACTCTGGGGACCAGCAGATGGCGTAATGGCTATGTCACTGGACTCCCATGTAGTCCACCGCAGTTCGAGTCCCAGACCCAGTGGGTTAAACTCATGCCGGGCGCGTGTGCATGCGTGCCCAAGATCCCGAGAGGAGAATGGAGGAGAAGGGATTGCGGCATGGCTATCCCCCCTGGGGGGGGATTTCTCGCTTTCTGTCTCTCTCTTTGTCTTTCTGGTGAGCGCATGCATCCTATAGCAAAAACCTCTCAAAAAAAAAAAAAAAGAGACTCTGATCACATGTGACTTTCTAGGAATTTTATAATGGTTACTTCTGTTCATGTGGCTCCTTTTTTTTTTTTAAACTCTCTGTTGAACATCAGCTACAAAGACTTCGTGGAACATTGAAATCAACGAGGCCAAAAGGAAACTGATGGAGAACATCCTGCTCTACAAAGAGGAGAAACTGGACAGCATGGAGCTTTTCGGCCCCTGCTGACCCGGCACAGCTGAGGCCCCCTGTCTTCCATCGGCAAGATGAAGGTCGCGCCAGCCAAGCTGCCCGTGACACCACACCTCGGCTTTCCTGAGAGAGAGATTCCCGAGTCACCACTGCGGAGTGACGGTGGGAGAAGGGACCTCAGCTTTTACGGACAGAGAAATCCACAAAGTTCTCTTCCTTTCTGGGCCTCCTTAGAGCTGGGTAGCAGAGGAGGCCGAAGTGGAACCGCTGGCATGAGGGCGCAGGATGGGGGCGACTCTGGTTCCAGGAGGGAGCGTGTGACGACCATGTCCTTAGCAGACGGCGTTACCCCAGCAGCTCTTGCCCCTCGACAACTGACAGAGCCATCCGCAGCGCTGGCGGCATTTTCCAGTGTGATCCCCACACCCCGGAGGACTGTCGGCCTGTGCGCCGGTGCAGTTCCCACCCGCCTCTCACGGACACCGGGCAAAGCCGCTGCCGCCTTTCCGCTTCCCGCGTGGGAGATTCCGCAGCCTGCCGATATTTATTAAGTGCCTGCTCCGCATCTCTCTTCCCATCCCACTAACGCTAATATTTTTAATAGAGCTTTTATTTTGAGATACGTGTTATTTATGGCTGGATGAAAAATTCAGAAGACTTTCATGTTTCACGTGTGATTCTGCTGCTAATGAAGTCAAATCATGTAGTTTCTGGGACCTCGGTTTCCTTGGAAGTAAGGTGACACCTGCTTGTTCTCCCTCCCTGGGCCGTTGGGAGGAATGGGTGAGGCTGTTGCTACCGAAGCACTTTGAAAATGCACTTGCCCTGTTTTATAAAATAAATAAATAAAAAGGCGTTAACGTGTGTTTCTATTGTGATTCTAACATGCGTGCGGTGGATATATTTTTGAAAAGTCATGTTGTAGGGGCCAGCAGGTAGCTTATTGGTTAAGGTGTTGGACTCCACATGGCCCACCGTGGTTCGAGTCCTGGACTTGGTGGCTCGAAAATCACAAAGGGTGCACGTGAGTGGGTGTCTAAAATCCCAGGAGGAGAATGGAGGAGAAGGGACTGGGATAGCCATCCCCCTACAGGGTGACTTCTCACTTTCCTTGCCATCTCTCTCTGCCTCTCTCCTCTCTAGCAAGCATGCATGCCCCATGGCAAAAACCTTAAAAAAAAGGAAAGAAAAGTAATGTAAACCTTTGTAAATTAGATGCTACTTTTAACTCATTTGGAAGAATATATCCCATTTAAAATAACTTTAGTAATTCATTTTTTAAAATTAAAATATGTAAAGTCAATAGATGATTTTTTAAAGAATTATTTTATGGGACCAGCAGTTAGTGTAATGGCTATGTCGCTGAACTCCCATGTACCCGACCGCGGTTTGAGTTCTAGACCCGGTGGCTTAAACTTGGGCCTGGCATGTGTGTGTGCGTGCCTAAGATCCCGAGAGGAGAATGGAGGAGAAGGGATCGCGGTGTGGACATTCCCCCTGGGGGGTGATTTCTCGCTTTCTATCTCTCTGTCTCTGTCTTTCTGGAGAGTGCACGCACCCTATAGCAAAAACCTCTCCAAAAAAATTATTTTATTTAATTTTATTTGTTATTATTACTTTTTTTCATTTAATCAGAGACAGAGAGAGAGAGGGACAGTGAGAAATCAAGTTGCCAGGTCCAAGACTCAAACCATGGTCAACCATGTGGTTGTCCAGCACTTTAACCACCATGCCACCTGCCAGCCCCATCAAGAGAAAATTTATCATTAGTTTTGTGAATTTTAAAAAGTATTTTTTATTACTATTATTATTAGTAGCAGTATTGGGTTTTACCAAACAGAGAGGGAGAATGATAGTGAGAAAGCAAGCCACCAGGTCCGAGACTTGAACCATGGTCGGCCATGTGGGAGTCCAGCGCCCTTAACCACCACGCCACCTGCCAGCCCCATTCACATTTATTTAGAAGGTGCTCTGTATCCACAGAAGGGCCAGCTCTTAATGTTGGCCCTTCATAGCTGTGTGATCTTTTTTTTTTTCTTTTCTTTTTTTGGAGAGGTTTTCGCTATAGGATGTGTGCGCTCGCCAGACAGACACAGAGAGACAGAAAGCAAGAAATCACCCTCCAGAGGGGATGGCCACGCTGCAATCCCTTCTCCTCCGTTCTCCTCTCGGGATCTTGGGCATGCACGCACACGTGCCCGGTGTAAGTTTAAGCCACTGGGTCTGGGACGCGAACCGTGGTTGACTACGTGGGAGTCCAGCGACATAGCCATTACGCTAACTGCTGGTCCCTAGCTGTGTGATCTTGAGGCGAGTGCAGGAGTTACCCAGAGCCTCTGGTTCCTCATCTGTATCATGGGGATAATAAAAAGTGTGTTGTCAGGGCAAGGGGGAGTCCTGCCTGATGAAAGCATTTAACCGTGCCCTAGCGAGGACAGCTTTTAACAGGACGATGGGGCCTAGCCCAGGAGGGCAGTGGTCTGTACAGACAACCCCATCTAAGCTCTGGTGACTGCTGTACAAAGGGGAAACTCAACCGCATGGAACTTTTTGGTCCCTGCTGATTGAGCATGCCCCAAACAGGACCTGGCATGTGGTGAGCACCTTACAGTTATGAGCAGGTGTTTCCAGACTGAGCACTAGAAGGCTGATGCCAGCCGGGTACTGGCTTTCCAGACAGACTTGAAATTCCAGACTAGGGATTTGTGTTGTGGGAAGGTCAATGAACCCTATTGAGAATCCAGTGAGAGCTACAGACCTTCTCTGCTTGGCCCGGTGTAAGTATATGCGTACATACACCATTTCGTATATGAATTCTAAGAGTGTGGACACGCTTACGTACTGCTGGTGGGAATGTAGAATAAGACGCTTTAGTGAAGTCTGGCATTTTCTCCAAAGGTTAAACAGTTACCATACAACTCAGCAATTCCACTCCTAGTTATCTGTTCAAGAAAAATGAAAGCAGGGACCAGCAGTTAGCGTAATGGCCATGTCGCTGGACTCCCATGTAGTCAACTGCAGTTCGAGTCCCGGACCCGGTGGCTTAAACTCATGCCAGGTGTGCGTGCGTGCCCAAGATCCTGAGAGGAGAATGGGGGAGAAGGGATTGCGGTGTGGCCATCCCCCCTGGGGGTGATTTCTCGCTTTCTGTCTCTCTGTGTCTTTCTGGCGAGTGCATGCGCCCTATAGCAAAAATCTCTCCAGGAAAAAGAAAAAAGAAAAATGAAAGCAGATTGAGGGGTCTTGAAAAAGCTCAAGGCTTTTTCAGGTATAAAATACTATGCACAGGGACCAGCAGATGGTGTAACGAGTACGACACTGGACTCCTACTTGACCAACCGCAGTTCAAGTCTCAGACCCAGCAGCTTGGAACACACCGGGAGTGCAAGTGTGCGTGCCCAAAATCCTGAGAGGAGAATGGAGGAGAAGGGATTGTGGCATGGCCATCCGCCCTGGGGTGTGATGTCTCACTTTTTGTCTCTCTGTCTCTTTCTGTCTTTCTGGTAAGTGCAGGTGCCCTATAGCAAAAAGCTCTCTAAAAATAAAATTTAAAAACGATACATGGATTTGAAAAGGTTTCGTATCAAAATCCAGTTGTCCTTTGGTTCCATTTTCTATGAACTTTTTGAAATACCCTTGCGTGTTCATGCAGTGTTCATAACAGCATTATTCATAATAGCTAAAACCAGAAACAGCCCATACCTCTGTCAACTAATGAGTAGATAAATTGAATATGTATATCCATACAATGCACTAGTATTCAGCCATAAGAAAAAAAGTGAGCGCTGATAGGTGTTACAACATGGACGAGCCTTGAAAATACATGTTCAGTGAAAGAAGCCAGTCTGGGGACGGCAGGCAGTGTGGTGGTTGAGGCACTGGACTTCCACATGGTTCAAATCCTGGACCTGGTGGCTTGCTTCCTCACCACTCCTCTCTCTGTCTCTCTCTAGTCAAAATAAAATTATAAAGTTGAACCGATAATTCTTTAAAAAATAAAAGAGCCAATCACATGTATGGTCCGATTTTAATTTTGCCTGGAGAGGCAGATCTGCAGATCCAGAAACTAGATCTGTGGTTGCCTTGGAGTACGTCATGTGGAGGTTTAGAGTAGGTTTAGACTGGTAATGGGCACTAGATTTTTTTGGGGGTGAGGGGTGATGAAAATGTTCTAAAATGAGATTATGGCCGTAGTTGCAACACCCTAGAAATACACTAAAAATATTTAAATGATATACTTTTTTTTTTTGAGAGGTTTTTTTTTCACTATACGGCGCGTGCGCTCGCCAGACAGACAGAGAGAGACATAGAGACAGAAAGCGAGAAATCACCCCCCAGGGGGGATGGTCACGCCGCAATCCCTTCTCCTCCATTCTCCTCCTGGGATCTTGGGCACACACGCACACGCGCCCGGCGTGAGTTTTAAGCCACCGGGTCCGGGACGTGAACCGCGGTCTACTACGTGGGAGTCCAGCAACATAGCCATTACGCTAACTGCTGGATCCCTAAATGATATACTTTTTAAAAAATTTTGCTAGAAAGTACACAAGTTCATCGGAGAGAGACAAAGAAAAGGAAAGTGAGAAAGTCCCTCCTATGGAGATACCATGATACGGTCTCTTCTCCACTTCTCCATTCTGCCGGGATTTGGGACATGCACACCCATTCCTGTTCAGTGTGTTTCAAATGTGTAGGGTCTGGGACTCAAACTGGGTGATCAGCCATGTGAGGTCCACACTGCCGTGGGGTGGGCTGAATCATACACTTTAAATGCGCGAGCTTTGCGATTGGTAAATTGTCTCAGTAAAGCTGTTAGAAACACGCATACTGGGGCCAGCAGGGGGCGTGGTGGTTGAGGCGCCGGAATCCCACATGGCTGACCACGATTTGAGTTCCAGACCTGGTGGCTTGCTTTCTTACTTTCCCTCTGTCTCTCTCTCTCTCTGGTCAAATTAAAAAACAAAGAAAGAAAAGAAAGAAAGAATAAAGAAAAGAAACATACAAAGTGGTTATCAGGTGCGTAAAACAGAAAGCCACAGTAATCTCGGAGCCCCACACCTCTCTCTCGTTGATTGGAACACTCAGGGTATTCTCTCTGTAGATTCGTTGTTTTTTCATGTCATCCTTGGCCATTGCTCCTAAAAGGTACTTAGAAATCACTTCATTGTTTTTGCCCGGTACTCCACAGTAGGGATATCCCATAATGGCCGTAACTACGTTCTACCGATGGACTGAGGCGTTTTCATTCTCGCGACTGCAAACAGTGTAGTAACAATTTGCATGCTCATCAGTGGATGAGGCGTGCATGTTCCCATACCCTCTACTATAGAGTATGTCTATTATTATGCTTTTTTGATCATGGGAAATTATAATTTCATTTGCACTTTTTTTTTTTTTTTTTTGGAGGGGAGAGATTTTTGCTAATAGGGTATGTGTGCTTACTGGGGAGACAGAGACAGAGGGAAAGCGAGAAGTCACCCCCGGGGGGGACGGCCATTCCGTAATCCCTTCTCCATTCTTCTCTCAGGATTTTGGACATACATATATATGCACCTGCCGTGAATTTCAAACTGCCAGGTCTAGGACTTGAACCACAGATAGCATGTGGGAATTCAACACCTTAACCACTATGTCACCTGGTGGCCCCTTATTTGTACTTTTACTTTTGACATTATGATTTCTAGTTTATAAATAATCATTATACATCTTTGTGGGGCACAGTGTGGTTTTTCAAAGCAGGTATATTGTGTGTAATAATCAAATCAAGGTTATAGACCTATTCATTGTTTTCCATATTGAACGTTACATAAGGTACATGTTTAATGACAGTTCTAGGTTTTTTTTTTTAATTTATGTTGAATTGTCAGCAACATAAATTATGTTGAATTGTCAGCAACTCAGCTGTGGTATGCAGTTCCATAACCTATTCAGTTTGTCTACATGCATTATTGATCTGTTGCTCATTTTCTTCCAAACTCCTCTGTGCTCCTTGGAGCTTATATTAATATTTGTAATTTTTAATACATGTTTTACTTTGTTTATTTTAATTTGACCAGAGTGGGAGAGAATGAGAGAGAGAGAGAGAGAGAGAGAGCGCCACCGGCCACCAGATCCAGGACTTGAACCACAGCCAGCCATGTGGGAATTCAGTGTCCTTAACCTCCATGCCACCCGCTGGCCTGTTTTATTTATATTTTTTTAGAATTATTTTATTTAACTTTATTGATATATCCATTTTTAATTTATAATCTAAACAAATGCACTTAAAATAATTATTTATTTTTTATTCTTCTTCAATTGGATGAGAGAGAGAGACAAAGAGAGAAAGCAAGCCTCCAGGTCTGGGACTCGAACCGTAGTTGGCCATGTGGGAGTCCAGCACCCTTAACTACCATGCCTCCTAGTGGCCCCTGTTTTTTTTTCTTTTTTTTTAAATAGATTTTTTTGCCATAGGGCATGTACCCTTCGTAGAGAAAGAGGATGGCCATGCTACAATTCCTTCCCCTCCATTCTCTTCTTGGGATCTTGGGCTCCCATGCACATGTGACCAGTGTGTGTGACCAGTGTGTGTTTCAGGTTATAGGGTTCAGGACTCGAACCTCAGAGTTGATCATGTGGGATCCAGTACCTTAACCAAGCCACTTGCTGGCTCACTTTTTTTTCCCCCCAAGAATAATTTAATTATATTTATTCATTCATGTACTTTTTTTTTTTTTTTGAGAGGTTTTCGCTATAGGGCACACAGACAGAGAGAGACATAGAGACAGAAAGCGAGAAATCACCCCCCAGGGGAGATGGTCACGCCGCAATCCCTTCTCCATTCTCCTCTCGGGATCTTGGGCACGCACGCACACGCACCCGGCGTGAGTTCTAAGCCACAGGGTCTGTGACGCGAACCGCGACCGACTACGTGGGAATCCAGCGACATAGCCATTACGCTAACTGCTGGTTCCCCACTCATGTACTTTTAAAAATTTTGACCAGACCTAACTGCTGGTTCCCCACTCATGTACTTTTAAAAAATTTGACCGGACACAGAGCGAGAGCAAGAGCGAGAGCGAGAGCGAAGGGGGGGAGTGAGAAAGCAAGTCACCAGGTCTAGGACTCGAACCCTGGTTGCCCATATGGGTGTATCAAGCACCTTAACCACCTCGCCACCTGCTGGTCCCCCATTTATACTATTTTTTTAAAAAAGGAATTATTTATTTAACTTTATTTTTAAATTTGGTACAGGGCACCTGTGCTCATCAGAGAGAAAAACCACCCTGTCACCTGCCAATCCTTTATACCTTTTTCTTTTTTTTTTTGAGAGCGAGAGAGATTTTTTGCTATAGGGCGCGAGACAGAGAGACAGAAAGTGAGAAATCACCCCCGGCCCGGGGTGTGTGTGTGGTGGTGGCGACGTCTCCTCGGGATTTTGGACACGCACGCACACACGTGTCTCGAACCACCTTCCCCCCGCGGCTTCTAATTCCAATTCTGCCATTCTGGGTGTGTCAGGGTACGTCACAGTCCCAGTTTACTGCTCTGTAAAATGGGGCGGTGGTGAGTAACAGCGTTTGGTTCGCCTAAGTCGGCCTGGACAGAGCCGCAGCGGGCAGCTGGCCAGAACGGTGGCCGTGGGAGCTCGGGACCCGCACACCAGGCTGGCGGGAGTAACGGCTGCCCGGCCTCCGCCCCGCGCTATTGGGGCCCCTGTGAGTGGCTCCGCCCCACCTGGCTTCTGACCAATGGGCAAGCTTCGTAAGGCGAGAGTTCCC